CTTTCGCCAAGCGTGAAATTGCTGGCTAATGCTAAGTCAAGGGGCGGGGGGGGGGGCGGAGAAGGAAGGTAGTGCGCCCTCTGCTGGCGGCCGTTTGAGCTCGCATCCCTCTCTGCTGTTTCCTCGCGGGGAAAAAAGTAAACGAGAGATGCAAACCAAAGACAACATTGTTGCCTAGGTATTGTGGCAAGGTAGTGTCACTTAGAGCGTCAAGATTCTCCAGTTCCATCTATTTAAGGTTTTAACGTACCATTTAAAACTAAGCTTGATTTAACAATAAAGGTATAGTGAAATCATTTGTTTTTTTGCCACATTGGGACTGCATAGAGTTGTTTTTAAATGGACAGCCATACAAATCCTGTGAGTGAGTGAGTGAATGAATGTTGAATCTTGTGTGAACTTCACATAACATCATGCAGTTTTCCTGTAAAGGGTGTGCTATTGCATACTTCCTTGCTGTAGATTTTTTGGATTGACTGGTTGAGCTGATAGACCTGGGATTTCTGCACTAACTAGGCCTGAACCTGTGTAACTTTACAAGGTCAGCTGGATGCTGTCACCTGCTGTTTACAAATGCTGTCCTGAACAGTCATGTTTTCAGAGCTGTTTGGAAGCACAATCGGGATGGGGTGATCTGAATACTCAGGGGTAGGTTTTTCCAAAGAGAAATGTCCTACCTGAGTCCTTCAGCTCTGGGTTCCCTGCAGATGGCATTTCCTCTGTGGTGGACCCCTCAGTACTATCTCTGGTCTCAGAGGGTGGCAGGTTTAACTCAGAGAAAGCAATTGGAGAGGGACCCAGTCCCTGTGCCAGATAGGTATTTAAGTATGAAATTGCACCTGGGCCAGAGTGAAATGGCAACAAGTGCAATGCTTGTGTAAAGGTGTTGCATGAGTGACTCCCCGTATGCCATAAATATCAGGGCCAGCGCATGTTAAACCAGCTTCTAAATTGTCCTTGTGGCCAGTTCAATGCAGTGTGAAATACATTTGACTTGTGAGCAAAGCCCTTACTTGCAGAAATGGTTGCAACTGATGCACAAGAGGTCGTTGTGCATCATAAAATAACATCGGGTGTTGTTAGTTACGAAGTCATGTCCGACCCATCGCGACCCCATGGACAACATTCCTCCAGGCCTTCCTGTCCTCTACCATCCCCCAGAGTCCATTTAAGCTCACGCCTGCTGCTTCGGTGACTCCATCCTTCCTTCTCATTAGGAGGCCAAAGTATTTGAGTTTCATCTTCAGGATCTGGCCTTCTAAAGAGCAGTCAGGGTTGATCTCCTCTAGGACTGACTGGTTTGATCACCTTGCANAACTGGACTTCCTTTTTTCTTTTGAAGACATTTCGCTTCTCATCCCAGAAGCTTCTTCAGCTCTGACAGGATGCCAATCCCCACTATCTTGCCAGAGCTGAAGAAGCTTCTTGGATGAGAAGCGAAATGTCTTCAAAGAAAAAGCAACAAAGTCCAGTTGCCTCCTGAAAAAGCACCTTTGTGAGGGAGGAAAGTTTGCTTGCAGAACACCCCCCCCCCCAGTCAGAAAACTGAGTGTGCTGACTTGGTTCATCCTTGGTTGATGGGGAAAGTTGCTCAGAGCCTCTTTTGCTTTCCTGGCCCTAGTCTAGTGGAAGGTGCCCTGAAAACAGGTGCTTCTTCCCTCCTTCACCAACCCAAAGCCAAACCTGCTAACATTTTCCAACGTTTTCCGAGTAGGCAAAAGTTAGAACTGCTGAGGCAAGTAGACTAACCCAGTTAGGCTGAAGTAGGCTACTCTCAAAGCATTTGGCATGTTGTGGTCCACAGCCCGTTTGCATTGCTGGGAGAGACGGGGGAGGGGGTGAGAAAACAAGGGTTGTCTTTACTCTCCTCACCAAAAAGTGGTGGGGGAGGGCAGTTTGGGTAAGAAGGGAGAAAGCAAGGAAAAAGTAGGTAAGGCGGCGCGCTCCGATTTCACGGCGGCCGATCGCTCCCCTTCCCGAAGGCGAAGGGTTAAGAGAAAAGGGGGCAGATAGGCGGAGAGGGGCGCTGGCTCGGCCGTGCCCGGGATAGGCGACTGTCTGCAGCGAGCGCCAAAGAACGCGCCGCCGGGGCTCGAGTTTCAGCGGGGCTCGGCCACAAGGGTAGGTGTCAGAGACACGTGGCTCCTGGTAAATGAGATGTCAAAGCGGCAACCACCCGCCCTCCCCTCCTCCCCGCCTGGGGCCCGCCTCCCGCCGCCGTCTCTCCGAAGGCGTCTGCCCCGAGCCTTCCCCTGGGAGCGACGGCCAAATGCGGGGCGGCGGAGAAGCGAACAAACAAGCAAACCAGCGCGCTTTCCAGAGTTCTTCTCCCGCTCCCGAGTGGGTTGGCTGAGGGGGGGGGGCGGGAGTCGCGCCGATCCAACCCGGCGGGATTTGCTTCCAAGAAAGGTGGATCTGCTGAGGGAAAAAAGGGGGTTTGCCTTCCCCTCACGAGCCGTGCCGATTACCCCCGCACTCCGCCTCCGCGGCTCCGGCCAGCGCCCCCCCTCTTTCCCCAACCGCGCCCCACAGACTCCAAGGAGGGTTTGATCTTTTAGTGGTTGGTTTTAATTTTGAGCTGAACTTTTCGACTACAAGGGAATGAATATAAAGAATAAATAGCCAACTCTCTTCCACGTACAGAAGACGAAAGACGTTCCAAGGCAAAAGAAACAACACCACCAAACCCGCTATGTACACAACAGTAACAACGTGTCTTAAAACCCTTTAAAGTCATCAATAGCGTTTAGTCGTCATCTTCGGAAGTCCGTAAAAAAAAAAAATCACAACGCAAATCGCTCGAAAACTTTGTTCCCCAAAGAATGGAAAATATTTCCATTTATAATTTAAAAAAAAGTTTTATGTTAAAAGTCCGGTTTTTTTTTTAAAAAAAAAAGTCTTTGCCAAACAAAAAACAACCACCCCAAAGGTTTTGAGACGCGTCTGTTTTTAAATCCTCCAAACGCTTTTTGTTTTCCCTGGAATATAAATTAAAGACGGGGAGGTGGGTGGAGAAAAGTTCCAATTTGCGACGGTCCGAGCGAATCGACTCTCTGAAAAGTACAGCAGGCGAGAAGAGTCCGCGGTATAACACTGACCTGCTTTCGGGAGGCGTTTGGGTGGTCTGACTCTGCAGGGCAGGGGGGTCCGGTGCGCGCAAGAACGCTCTCACTCTCCCGGGTCTTTCGTGAAGCACGCCCGTCTTTTAACACAAAAACAACAAAAAATGTCTCCTGTCTTGCGCGCAACCCGGAGCGATGCAAACGTTTCAACTGGGGGAAGCCAACAACGTCCATCCCCCCCTTTTTTTTGCGCTTCGTAGCGTCTTGAAGCCGACCAAACCCCCATGCTTCGCGGCCGGCACGGTTCGGTGAGAACAAGAGGCACGGTGTTATACTTGGCTTGCTTGTTTTCTACGGGGACGTTGGCGGTGACCGGAGCGGAGGGCACACACGCGCGTTACTCCCCCCCCCGCCCGCCCCGCCTTAGCAGGAGCATTTGCACTCGGAAATGATCGGGTACTGGATGGGGATCCACGTGCAACGCTGCCCCCCGCGGCGCTGGCACCTCCACCGCAAAATGGTCAGATGCGCGGATTTGGCCGGTTTGCAAAGCATGCCTTCCGGGACGGAGCAGGAGCGCTTGCTGAAACAGCTCCCCACCTTCACGTAGCGAGGCCAGAAGCGGCTGCCGAGGTCATTCCAGGCGTAGAGGACCGGGCAGAAGGTGTGCGACCACAGCCAGAGCTGCAGCTTTCGACGGAGCTTCTTGCTCAGCCGGTGCTTCTTGCTAGCCTGGAGACCCCCGCCGTCGTGAAACTCCAGGCCTTTGATCTCGCCGGGCATGGCTCCGGAGGGTCTCTGCCGCAGCAGCAGGTCCAGCTGGGCCAGGTCGTCCCCGCCCAGGCGGTCCTCGGCCAAGGAGACGGCCATGAAGCTGGGGTCGAAGTGGCTGCCCAGCAGGGTCCTTAGCAGCGTGTCGTTCAGGTCCTTCTCCTTGGGGTCGAAGACAGGGTCCGGGTGCTCGATTAGATCCACCAGGGGCAAGTTGTCGCTGGGGGCCGGTCGGATGTGGAGGTAGTGTTGGCAAGCGCCCTGCTCCAGTCGGAAACCTAGGAGGACCGCCAACGCGTAAAGCCTCACCAGCCACTGAAGGTGATCCATGCTCAGAGAGAGGGAGGGATGGATGGATGGATGGACGGAGGGGAAAAGGAAAGGGGACAGGGTTCACCCAGAAGCGGGCCTGAGCAGAGGCATCGGCCGGAGAAGGGAAGATGAGGAGGGTATCCAAGCAAGGAGGGTCTTCCCCCTCCGCTTGCGTTCCGCGGCTGCAGACTCCTTGCCCAAACGCCTTTCCTCGGGGGTCCGGTGAGTAGGCAACAGCAGCACACACACCAAAAAAAACCCAGCACCGTTTAGAAGTAAGTAGTAGTGCTCGTGAAGGGCGACAGCCCCGTGCAGAAAATCAGAAGCCCGGGGTGCCCCATGCAATTGTTTCTGCCTCCGGATTTCGGGTCGTGTCCGCTCAGGAGAGTCCTCTGCAAACTTCCATTCGGCTCCCGTCTCTTTTGCAGTTCGCGAGAGCCGCCGCCGCCGCCACGCACGTTGGCACCAGCTAGTCTGCTGCGCGAGGATCCAGCGCCTTTAAATTTCCTGCACTTTCGGTCCCATCGCTATGGAAACCACCGACTCGATCTTTTCAGGCCCTGCTCCTTAAAAGAGGAAACTCGCGGGCGTGGTGGTGGGGAGGTTGGGGGAAAGAAAGGCAAAGGTGATCTGCTACTCCCCGAAGTCCCGGAGGCAAAAAATCGGTCGCTCCAGCCACCCCAAGCCGAAGGGAGTAAGGTGGGGAGGAAGCCACTTTCTCCGTGGCGAGCTCCAAGCGCGGCTGAGAAGTGATGCTCTTTCGCGGGAGCTTCTTCAGTTGCTTCCCCGTAGCGGAGGAGAGCTATCCGAGGCGGCTTGGCCACTGCTAAATCGGGCACCCCCTCTTAGCTGCGGCTGGGTTATGAATTAGAAGGCGGCCTCACAGCCAGCTTTTATACCCCGCCGGGTCGGCTCCAACGAACAGCAGCCTGTGCAACCTTGCAAGGCTCCGTGTGCATCGTCCGGGACTGGCTTCTTTCTGAGCCGCTCACGCCCTCTTTTTCACTTTGGCCGCTCAAAGTCGCTCACCTCGTGCCTTTGCCCCCCTAGGATTGCCCTGGTACCTGGTTGCCGCTGCATTTATTTGCGCGGCTCCACGCTTGAGCCCGTGATGTAATTCTAGTTGGCTTCTAGCTCAAGAAGGGCTCTGCAAACGCCGCCTTTCGCCAAGCGTGAAATTGCTGGCTAATGCTAAGTCAAGGGGCGGGG